GATGTTAAGGTTTAAAATTTGCAACTATTCTTATAATGAAAAACTAATTTTAACCCCAACATACTTCTCAAATGTTTTCACGTTAAGGTTCGACCTGTTTCTTATATGCTTCTTCCAAACCATATATTGTGATTGGCTCTTCATTATAAAAATCCATGAATTTAACACACAAAACTTGCTCTTTCTCAAACCCCTTCTTTCAAAATCTTCTCTAGAAGAAGCTGATAGGGTGCTGAATTCTCTCAACCAGGAACGGAACTAGAATTGATTATTGGGTATACCTATATTGTACTCTTATATTAATAAGGTTCAAAATTAAAATGCCTTAATAAATTTTTTTTTTACCCTATGTTTCAACTAAGAGGAAATGAGGAGAGAGAAAAGAAGAGGTGGGGAAAGTTTTCCTTCTATTTTTGTCATATAAATAAATAATTAAATTAAAAGTAAAAAGTAAAGTAAAAAAAAAAAATTCTCCCTTCTCTTCTAATTATTTTAATAATTAAATAAAAAATGTTTTCTTCTCCTCTCCCCCTCCATTCTTCTTAATTCAAAGATACTATTAATGATAAAATCTTATAATTATAAATTTATAAAATTATGAAAATTTTTTAAAAGAGAAACAAAATTTATGTCAGATCTTTTTTTAACATAAATTTACTTTATAACCACAACCTTAAATTAAATTTATAAGTTACAAGAAGATATCTACTGAAAACAACCAAATCAATTTCATCTACCTCTTGTAAAAAGCCCAAAAGGTAATAGCTTCATCATTATAATCCTAATCTTAGATGGGTCAAAGAGCAACATTCTATGGCACTAATTACAAAATGTTGCAAATGGGTATTTATTTTAGGTTGTGTTTGGGAACTTAAATTTGAATTTGATGAGTGTAATTAAAATACATGTATTTAAAATATATGTATTTTGAAATACATTGTTTGGATTGAATTTAAAAAAATGAATTTCAAATACATGTATTTTTAAATACATTGTTTGGATATTTTAAAATACTATGTATTTAAAATTGAATTTCTCTATTAAAT